GCAGCGCCAAGGCCGCCCGCGCCCGCGCGGCCCTTCCCGCTGTTCCGCGGCCCCGGGAAAAGCCCCTCGGGGCGGGAGACCCGCTCCCTCCCGCGGGAAGCCCTCAGCAACCCAGCCTGTGCATCCTGGAATAGCCGCGGGCAGCGCCCAGCCTTGACCTGCCCAAGCCTCCTTATACCTTATGTAAGTGCGTTTATTATAGGGAACTACATATATTAAAAGCTATGCTGAGGGGGGCACAACAAGCATATGGTGGGGGTCAGAAAAAGAGGATTTGTCCATGGCTTTCGCTCAGGATCAGTCCGTGGCTTCTTGGCTTAGCTGCACACTGGGCAGGATCCTTCCCCGCCGACATCAGCCAGTGCTGCAGGAAGCCTGAAGGGAGCAATCATGGCTAGTGCTGGGCTCGTGGGCACTTTCTGACTGAGCAGTTCCAACACAAAGTAGATATTCTGACGTTCATTTGAGTGCTTAAGCCTGGATACTGAATTGACACCAGTTTGGGAGGGACTTCACCCACGTTTTGCTGCCTAGAAACATTCACAGCTTGGAGGGCAGCTTAGAAATTGTACAGGATTTATCTACATCTATGCTGCTTTAACATCATCTCTGTGCAGAGATAAAAAGGTAGTAAAAATGAAGAGCAAAATATATTGCTMTGTGAAGAGTGATGCCTTTTTATGTCATGCTGTGCTGTCTTTGCAGTTGTTTAACATTTTCTTCTCTTTCATAGTGGTAACTATTTTTGCTTTTTCAGAGCCACTACCAGGGCAGTGCATGCCAGTTCTAAGTGCGGAATGAAACCATTACATGTAATGTTTGGTAGAGGCTGGAATTAACTGCTGAGGTCAAATCACTGTGCGCCAGTGCCTTTCCTCTCACAGATAGACACGCAGCCCGCAGGCAGATGAACAAGTAGAGGTGACAAGTGAGAAAGTGTTTATTGAACATTCCTCTCGTTCTCGCACCTGCTGCAGTGCCCTTYGCTTTACGAAACATCTTCCAAATAAATAAATAATACAGTACTTGAGTACATGGGACTGTGTACGTTTTACACACCACATGTAAACAGCAGTCTGTGAAGGCARCTGCTGTAGAACAGCACTGCGATAAACGCCATGTAACTTGTACAACTCGGGTGATGCTTGTGCTGTGTTGGTTGGACATAAAGTCTCCTCGAGGGAGTACAGACAGCACAGACAAGATGTGGAGACCACGTGGGGCCAGCTGGGCCAAGGCCTGGGGTCAGCATTGTCATTCCCGYGGGGTCGGTGCCGCCAGCTCAGGTGCTGCTGCGCGGCTGCGGACACCTCTCAGAGAGGCCGTGGGGCAGCACGTGGGCCAGGCAGTGCCCGTTGAGCGCCACGAGGAGCTGCAGCTGGGCCATGCAGGCGCGCAGGCGGCACCGCGGGTAGCCGCTGAGGCGCAGGTCGAGGGGCGCGCGGTGCTGCAGCAGCTGGTCGGCCAGCCCCAGCGCGGCAGCCGCCAGCAGCGAGGGCGCGTAGCGCCTGAACGTGTAGTCGGCCAGGCTGAGCTCGGCCACGGCGCGGGCCAGGCCGCGGGCGGCGCGGGCCTCGGTGGCGGCACGTTCCTCGGGGGTGGCACTGCCGGCTGCGRCCAGGCGCACGCACGTGAAGTGCTCCAGGAAGAAGCTGACGGTGGGCGCCGCAAGGCTGAAGCGCAGCTTGTGCAGCACGATGCACTCCAGGTTGAGGAGCTGCTGGCGCGTGAAGGCGTCGCAGCAGAGCGCGAGCAGCTCCTTCACACGCGGCGGGTGCACCTCCACCTGCGGGACACGAGCCGCCTGCCTGCCCTGCCATGGCTCCTCTCCGTGTGAGGGGAGTACTGCAGGGGACACGCACCCCGTCCCCGGTGCGGGGAGCAGAGGGAGGCCGGGACCGTACCTGCTTGCAGGCRATGAGCAGAGCTGTCACCCCCAGCAGCTGGAAGCAGTCGGCGGCCACGGGGGTGGTGGCGAGGAAGCGGTCGAGGGTGTTGACGGCGAGGCAGAGGCTCTCGAAGGAGAGGCGCAGGTGCCGGTACACGGGGATGAGCCAGCTGACGAGCCTGCAGCGCGCCTCCGCCGTCACCTATACCCGCGCGGACACATGCCGGGGCTCAGGGGCTCCGCGTGCCGGCCGTCCCATCCCCGTCCTCATCCCTGCCTCACCTGCGGCTGCCGGGCGAGCGGCTCCCGCGGCTGGAAGCGTCTCTCCAGCCCCTTGCGGGAGCGGTACCAGCTCTCGCCGTAGTCGCGGAAGTCGCGCAGCTCCAGCGGGCTCTCCGCCTCGCAGCCGCTCTCGCTGCCGCCCACCGCCGGCCGCCGCCGCTTGGTCGGGGGCCGCGGGCAGGGGCCGGGGCCCGCGGAGGCGCCCGCCGCCGCCACCGCCGTGACCATGGAGGCCGCRTGGGGCCTGGCGGCGGCGGCGCCTATTTGAGGGCGGCTGCTGCGGCAGGGAAGGGCCCGCCCGGGCCGGGGGAGGGAGCAACGCGTTGCCCTGAGCCACCGCACACGTAAAACAGGACGGTGACCGAGGTAACTAGAGGGCTCCCAAGAAGGCTGCAACTCCCTTYGACTCCGTATCCAGGCTCTAGAAACACTAGAGCGAGAAACACTCTCAAACAAGTGGATGCACGCATCAGCTGCCACAGGCTACTTTCAAAAGAATATGCAGCCCAAAGCTGGCTTGGTGTGGCCAGAGGTGTGGCTATGGCGAGCAAGACTGGCTGCTATCAGTCCCCTGTTTGGCAAGTGCTTTGAGGAAAAATAATGCTTGAAGAGGGCTAATACAAACTTTAACTGCTAAGGGTGAAACACAATGCTAAACGGTTCAGGGTATTTGAGATGGCTTGTGGGACAGTGCAAAGACATATTCTAGGAGAGAAGCTGTATACAGGACTGCAAAACTTCTTACACACATCCAGCGGAAGGGCCAAGAGTAATGAGAGGGAAGGAGCAGGGCAGGTTTGCAGGATCACTCATGGGAAAACAGTGTGGAAAGGGGATAAAAGCCAGTTGTATGCAAGCGAATTCCTAGTCAGGATGCTTGTCTGAGCCCTGTTCCTCATCACAGCCATGCAAACCCTCTTAAAAACGTCTGAGTATTGTCACTCTCTATGCAAGGCTCAAGCACTATAAGGTCTCAGTTTCCATCTGCAGCCAAACCTGTGAAYCTGAGACACTGAAGCCTCCTGGGTTTTAAGAGGGCACTTGGCATCAGAAAGGAAGAAGCCCCAAGTCTCAGAATTCACTGGCATGGCAGCTCTCATGACACCCTTACACTATACAGAAGGCTACAGACATATGTAAGATATATTGCTTTAATTATGCAAATTCATAGCTCAAGAATTAGTGCTTAGGAAATCAAAGTTTAAAAAAAAAGTTTGTCTTCTCTTTGCAGATAACCAATGAAATGCTATCCCACAGATTTGGAGTCCAATCTTGATAAACTGCACCATGAGTAATGGCATAATTAYCACATTAGATGCAAACAAAACTAGAATGAGACAGTCATTTTTATATTGAAAATACAAACTGTTTTGTCTGCATTATTTGTATGCTCAAACAAATGGCACAAAGTGTACTGTAAGGACTAAATAGTCAATGTGCACCCTTAAAAGATACCCAGAAAGGTAAGTTTTACACAAAACCATGCATTCTTCCCAAGTCATGACTGGTATCAACAACAAGTATTTTCAGTAAAAGCTGGAGTGTCTATTTCCCCTGCCATTACTGCAGCTGTGGTTTGTTACTGATTCTCAGTTTCAGTTCCCATTCTCTGTTTTTATCAGTTCTTTGATGATGTGTAAAACCTTGTCATCTAGGAAACAAAAACACAAACACCACAGTGAGCAGAAAAGAGTGAGTTTTAAATCTATTCAGAAAATAAAAACAAAAATCATCCTCAAATGAAGACTGCTCTAAAACGTTAAAAAAAAATCCCTGTGCAGCAATTAAGTAAACAATATATCCATAATACATGACCGAATACTCTTATAAGCTTGCTAATGAATTGATTTTGTCTRTTAGACGAGATGAAGAAAATGAAAAGTTGCCATAGATGGATGTGTGTACAACACACATTCCTCCTCCTCATCTATGATATTCTTCAAAACTTCCAGTACYAAGAACCCAGATTACTCTTCTGTATTCCTTAATTTTGGGGGCCAAGTTGCAATCTCCCATCATTACTCTACACTGTGAGACAATTCATGCAACACAACTTCTTAAGCACAGATGAATTTCATCACATACCCAATGTTATTTCTGTTTTAAGAAATGCACCTCACCAAGACCATTCACTACCATGAAAGCTGTTACCAGGGATATCTTTAAATCACCACTTGTGTTGATCCTCACAAATTCTTACAGAATTTACACAGGATCAGTATGACAACAGAGCTAAGTTATGCTAACCCCTTTGGGGCAAGGATGCAATGTACTAATACTTTCTCAGGTTTACCACAAGGACTACAGTGCAAATTTTTATGACAGTAGCCTAAAAGATTACCTTCGAGGGACATTTTAGGATTTTCAAGCTTCTTCTTTAGCACAGATTCAATGAGAACTCTCAGTTGTTTGAAAATTACTGCAATTTTCACAGGAGCCTGTAAAGAACAGAGAGGACAAACATTTGCATTATTCTCAGACATTTTGTACCAAAATATACATTAACATATTAACTCACATAAAAAAATGTTCTTGCATATGTGTATTTAAAGCACAGAGAGCATACTCATGACATTACTGAGTTTAAATTACACCTCTTTATCTTTAAGCATCTTTTCTTTGTAGCATCACAGTCTAAAAGAACAGCAGCTCTGAAAAGTAATTAAAAACACACGGAGATCCTAACCAACCAGGATATCRTGGAATTATTATAGCTAACTGATACCCTACTTAAAAGTGTTTTGGTATAAAGAAAAAGAGAAAGCACAAACCCATTTGCATTTAAGGACTGCTTAGATAAACACACAGGAAAGCTGATTTTTAAAACTCTGAATGCACACGGTAACTGGTGAATTCAATTAAGTGACGCTCTGCTGGCATCTGCATTTGGGTTTTTATTTTTTTCTTTACAGAGTGAAGAAAAAAATTAAACTGACTTGCATTTTATACCTTTTGTGAAGTGTAACATAGTGCCCACAGAAGAAGAAAAAAACCCACCAAGTCATATGCAGATCAGCAAAACCAAGTTCTCACATTTTATGGACTCTACATGAGATTTCGACATATTTTGGCATTTTAATTTTGACTGTGAAAATACACTAAGAAAAAACTCTCAGTTTTCCCATTTGCAAAGAAATATTTTCATTAAAAAAGACCCCGCATATCCTCCTCCCCCATCCCTAAACTAATGTACAGAAACCCAAACAGAAGAATTTCCATTCAGATTACCCTCTGAGTAACTCCATTTGGGCAATATGGGAAAAAAAAAAAAAAGCAATTAAAATAGGTGTCTACATGTTTGTAAGATGGTAACAGTAACATAAATTAGTGCACTCAGCTGCTTCAGRTACCAGCACTCCAAAAAGCAAACTAAACAAACCCACCCCAAACACTTTACTGTTTGGTTTGAATCTATTTCCAGTAATTGTTTTTCTGAAGTGACACRGAGTTCTCTCATGAAGATGAAACTGATTTAAGCCAGATATTACTAAACTACTATTTCAAGTGTAATTGTCTAAAATCTCATTGCATGCTTGCTGAGTTTTCCACCATTTCCATTAATTTTCTCCCACCTTCATCCCCGATATATAACGATCTGAAACAAACTTACGCATCAACTGTGTTGCAAAGAAGTCAGGGAAACCACAGGAGGTACCTCCCACCCCAACGCACCTGAAAGTGGATCCAGCCATCCACAGACAGGAGACGCTCTCGATGCTGGACTTCTATATCCCCACCAAAAAGCAAAATGGGAAATGGGGAAATTAAAGTAGTCTCTCTCAAGTACACCTTAGTGTACCTCACCTGCATATAAACAAACACAAACATTAGACAGAGAAACTGCAGCGCTGAGTTTGAACGTTCATTTACAAAGCAAGAGCTATACCATCTTCTTCTCCCCCCTCCCCTTTTAATAGCTGCTCCACACAAATCGTTGCTCAAAGAAGACCTGGTGGACAACTTCGTGCCCTTTACCTAGGCCAAGACATGAAGCACCTAGGAAATGATCCAAGGCCACAACTTTGCTCCAGTTTAAATTCAAACAGAAAGACTGTGTCAGCCCAGTGCTTCGAGCAATAAGTGCAGAAGGGATCAGCATTAGTTTCCTCCTACACACTTGTGCTACTTACAGGGATAGGGGCTTCTCACCGACCTTCAGGGCAAGCATAAGGGAAAGGAAACAAACATTCTTGCTCTCTCCCAGCAACAAATTCACCTGTAGATCTGTATCCGTGTACAAGGGGGATGTATTTAACTTTACCTTGTATCTTTATATAAAAAAGCAAGCTTCGTTCCATGACTTAGGGGATAACTGATTTACCCTACTGCTGTCTTGCCTTTGGACCAAGGTTCTTGGGAGTCCGAAATATTTTCAAATCTTTGAACTAAAACTTCATATGCCTGAAGAAATGAACCACTATATAATCTCCTGCTCTTTTATGGTAGGCTGCTAAGCAACTCTGTCATGCTTTTGCTGGACCAGAAGTTTCTCTAAAATGAAGTGTTGGGTTTAGCAAGGAGTCAGTGAAGTTTGGAGTAGGGAGGGGGAGAAAACTGACAAAAACGAAATTCAGTTATGAAGTTAAGTAGTCAGTTACAGCATTGAGTATTTATGCATCTTAAGTCATTATTATGCGGTTATGAAAGGGTCTAAGTTTCAAAACTTTAGAACCTACTTCAAAAAGGTAGGCAAAAAATGTTCAAAGTGTTACTAATTACAGAAGTAACTGTGTATCATCGAGTAGCACTATATCAAATCAACAGCACTATATAAAACAAAAAAAGGAAAGGCAACACAAAGTGCCTTTCTCTGTCACAATTTTATGATGAAACAGGTAGCTCTAAGTTAACTTAGACACTTGTCAACCTTAACTTCTAGACAACATTTCTCTTCAGCAATAAAATGACCAACTCTTATAGACTTTAGTGACATAAGATACTATGAACTCTTCGGATGTTTTTACATAGCAATTTAACACTAGAGGCACAACATCATGATCAACTACATTCTGAATTTTCACTTCGTTCTCTCTGTGACACAGAGACTTACCTTCTCCTGGTAAAGCAGCCATCCATACACCTGTAAGTCTCGATTTACAGAGGAGGGATGTACTTGTGCTTTGCCCTGAGCCGTTTCTACCATGCACGCCAGTTTCTCTGTGATATCCACAGACTTGGTGTATAATATTTTTCCTACATTGTCATAGAGCCCTGCTGTCAACACAGCT